GGATGGCTGTTATGTAACTCACTTCTGCTGAGTAGAACACTCAACTAGAAGCAGTCAGTCTCTGTAAACCACCCTTAATCTTGTTTAGTAATGAAATCCTGAGAACATTTTGGAACAAACCAATCCTCAAACTGATGCAGCCATGACATAGAAATCATCATAGTGATGGGAAATAGGCAGACGTGGTTCTTGTCTGCTATTCATAAAAGCATGATTTGTAATTTTTTCCATCAGACATTTAAAAACTTAGTTTTGCAATAAACCATAAACTCTTAACTGTTTTAACAAAAGTTTAGCAAAACACTGCCTCTCAGCACCCCTTCTAATACTAGAAGCATCCTTCACACTGATTGTTACATATAACATTTCTGAAAAGCTAAGTGGCTTAAACTTTTAATAAAAGAATGCTCAGCTAGTGCTATGTTACTATATGTACCCCTGTCCCTGGGATGTGGTCTGAATGTCCCCCAAAGCAGGATAGCGTGGGATGCAGAAGAAGGCATATATAATATCTAAGAGTAAACCATGTAATTCCACTTTGTATTTGGGTTAAAATAATCATAGATTAGAAACTATAGGATGGAGTGATATTATAATTTCATTCACAATTTGCAAATCTTCCAGTAGTAAGTATTTCCCATTTAGATTTAGTACTGGAAGAATAGGGGTGTTGCATGGGGACTGGCAGTAGAATGAAAGATCATGTTTGGATTTTAGCTGTTAGAGGCTGAAGAGCCCAACAGGCCTCTGGGTTCAAAGGGCATTGTCATATATGAAGATAGCTGTTTGGATCTTTTAAGCAAATGACAGCATGCTAGACATGAACTGCCTTTCCTGGGATTTAGGATGCCAGACCATGGTTTGACCTCTGATAAAATTTCCTTAGGTTTAACTCTTGAGTATATTGTCTAGTGGACGTATACTAATGCTCCCAAAAAAGGAGATGAGTATTTTGGTGCCAGATAAAGAATTGCTCCATAGCACTAGCTGAGCATAGGTAAAAATGTCTCTGCCTAATATAGGGATACTCCAGGAAAAGTAGGAAAGTCAATGAAAATTAGTTCCCCAAATATACAGGTTAGAGGCATTATAAAGCATTTGGCCCTAAGATACTGTGAACACCAGTCACAATACAAATTGTACCAGGAAGGAATCCAAAGGATTCAAATAAAGCAGATTTACAAGCTCCACATGCAGTAGGAAAACTAGTGTTTTTACCTGCCACATTAAGTTCCTTGAGGTTCTTGCAGGGAGATACCTACTTTGCTGAGAGGGGCTTTGTGAAATCTTGGACATCTTCAGTCTTCTAGTCCAACCAAAATGGAAGCCCCTGCCCTCACCTCACTTTGAAGGAGAAGGAAATCTTACTTCTGGTGTCTTCCTACTTTATAATGAGGCACTTCCAAGGTGAAAGGACTCACATAACTACCTTGTTTTTGTAAGTGTCCAGGCCCTCCATAGTGGTAGCAGCCATGTGATCTCTTATTCTCCATCTTCGTAAGTGAAATCTTTGGGATATTCTCAGGAGGCAGGATTTTATTTTCTTGTGCCAAAGGAATAAATTGGGTTCCTGAACCTGTAGTTATTTACCTGAGCCTCAGCATTTGTAGCTACTTTGTCCCTGTTGTTAAAGATTGCAAAAACCAAGTTTAAAAGTTCATTAATGGGATCCCAAAGACTTATCATGGTTTATATATCTCCCCAAAGCCTCATGGGCTCATAGGTGGGGTTTTTTGGAAGTGGTTAGATCTAAGGTATGTGAACAAGAATTAAAAGTATGTGCATATGTATTAAGGGATTCGTAGCTAAACGAGTTCACTGATTGCTTTAGCATAGTTCTTTTTTATTATTTTTTAAAATTTTATTTAAAGAAAGACTAAACAAAACAGAAAATGGGTAGAAATAATACGTTCAGAGAAAAAATAAATAGAAATCACTAGTTGATGTTTACATACTGTACTTTTACAAATAGTTGTTCAAGATACTAAAGTGGAGCATATAAAATGGGAATTCAAACAGACTGCAACCAGTTCTGTTCAACTTCCAACAAAAACTTAGAAATATGGTTATCAATCCTATACACTTAAACATACATGCAGTTATCCATATCTTCAATTATGTTGAGATTGAACAAACCCAAGCAGGCTAATACCACTCTGAACAAAGAATGATACTATTGCTGGGTTTTACTTTATGACATTCCAAGATCAGCACTGGGTACTTTAGTGTCTCGTTTTCTTCCAAGTATCTGTTCATTTCATCATGTGTCGTAAGATCAGTTCTCATAAACTGTTTATAGATTCTACACATGCATGAGTCTTAACATGTGTTTCTATCCTTTCTATATTAGAGGGAGAAACAAAACAAGACAAAGCAAAACATACTCCTATAAACACATGAAACAAAAAAGACATATAAGATTGTTGTACAAGGAGTTCTACCATAGTTCCTGTGTTGTCTCTTGTTATCTTCAATAGAATTAGCTATATCATCAGACATAGTATAATTGAGTATATCAGTACATAACAGTATTAATAAAAACACAACTTTGTATAAAACTTTGTAAAACACACAATATTGTATAAAACTTCAAAAACAGGTAGTTATCAAACCAGAATGTGTATTGCAGTGAGTCTTGTCATCTTCAGTGTAGTTGCCTATACTCTCAGACTTGATAGTATCAATCATATCAGTTTTGAATAAAATCTGTCGATACCAAACAGCAATCAAACAAACGAGATTCAACTACAGATCAGTCATGATAAAACAGTATAAGTTATACAGGGCTCCAGATTAAGTTAATAGGAAATTAAAGATGATTACTGTGCTATATCCTGATGTTTTTGGGATAGCTGTCTGTACCCTCAATCTAATGCAAGTAGACAAACTGGGACAGAATAAAATCTATCTAAGCAGAGTGCTGCAAGTAATGTGGGTTTTAAATCCTGATACACTATTAACAATATCTTCTGCCATGTTTTCTAAAAGACTCTCCCTCCCCTTTCACTTCCCCAGGGTACACTGTGCATTTTTGGATCTGACTAAGACCCTTGGTTTTAAATTGGGTAGGGGGGAACCTGCTATTTACCTAAGTGGTTCTGAACCTTCTCTCTCCTGGACTTGATCTCTAATTGTATTCCTTTACCTATTAAGCCTGTCTTTCCAACCTATTCACAAATACTGGTCTAGTTGCCCCTATTACTCTCTCTGGTTCTCTGTCACATAGAGCATTGTTTTCTCATATTTGGTTTTCAATCCATGCACTCTTTTTCATGTTAATTATATTTCCTATAAATAGCATCTCGGTGGACTCTACCCCCTGATCTACTCCATGTGTAGTTCTTTTTTTTTTTTTTTCTAATTTAGTGTATCAAGGCCATCTATATTAGAGATTATAACCAACCTTCTCTGCCTCATTTCTGCTATGCTCTTTTTTTTGCCATCAGTTGTCTGCATATCTTCTTCCTTCTGTTTTCTGCTCCATTCATTGAGGCCTCTCTGCCACTGTTCCTGGAATCCTAATACTTTTCTCTCTCTCAGTAGAATGCCCTGCAGTATTCTCTGTAGAGTTGAATTGGTGGTTGCAAATTTCCCAAGTTCCTCTTTGTCTTGGCAGCATCTTGTTTCTCCATTAATTTCTAGAGACAGTTTAGCAGGGTATATCAATCTGGGCTGGAGTTATTTTCTTTCAGGGCTTGGAATATTTTGCTCCAGGCTCTTCTTGACTTGATGGTTTTTGTTGAGAAGTTTGCTGTTATTCTGATGGGCCTTACTTTATAGATTATCTGTTTCTTGTCTCTAGCAGCTTTTGATATTCTTTTCTTATATTGAATTATTGGGATCTTTATTATTATATGCCTGAGTATAGCTCTGTTTTGGTTGTAGGCAGCTGGAGTTCTGTATGCCTCATACATCTGAATATCATTTCCTTTTCCTATATTTGAGAAGTTTTCCTTAATTATTTCTGTTAATAGCCTTAGTAGTTCCTATGTTTGTACCCTTGCTTCTTCATTCATATTCTTTATTCTCAAATTATACATCCTCTTGTCATCTTCTAGCCTTTGTATTGTTACTGCTTGTTTCCTTGTTATTTTTAAAAAGTTTTTCTTTCATAATCCCACATTGCAAAACTGTCCTCCAGTTTGGATAATCTATCCTTAGATTCTTTCAAGCAGATTTGCCATCTTTCCATAGAGTTTTTAATTTCCTGGTAATCTCTTTAAATCTGCCTCATGTATTCTATATTTTCTTTATATTCTTCATCAAATGGTTCTCTCCTTTGAGTTCCTCCCTTCTTCTTCTGTGTCTTATTGAGGGGTGCTTAGCATTCTCTTTTATTAATCTTCTTATATCTTGCTTTACTTGGCTAAGTATTTCACTTTTGAACTTGTCTATGAGGTCCCAAAGATACCTCTTTATGTCCACTGGTGCAGTGTCAGTTATTGCATGTTTGCTGTCCTCGTTCTCCTTTGTATTTACCTGTCCTGGGTCACTGTTCTCAGGGTTGGGACCTGAGGACTTTTTCTTGTTGCTTCCTCTTCCCATCTTTTTTGTTTCTTCCAGGAGGCCCCAGTTTCTTTCTTTGTTGGTTACAATTCTTCTGAAGCAGGCTGGCTAGGTGACCCTTCCCACTGCAGTGTGCTAGTGAGTTGCAAACAGGGGCAGCGTATGCTGGCCCCTCCCCTCCAGATCAGTTAAGCTGCTGAGGCCTGCACTATATTACTGTGCACCGTCTCCCCTCCGGATCAGTCATACTTCTGAGGCCTTCACTGCATCAGTGTGTGCCGCCACCATAGGGAATTGATTTCGGATAATCTGTTGGGTCTCAGCCAGGTCTCATGACCCAGGCCTAGCTCACTCCACCAATCCTGTTCAGGAAGGGAACAATTGACTGAAGTCACTGCTGCCCCTTGTACTTGCCAGACTTGCCTGCTCCCAGGATGTCATCTGCCAGAGACCCCATTTCTGTGGAATGACTCTACTCCCATCAATCACCATAGGTCGATGCAGGCTCCCTGCCAGCTCAGCTCTCCATTCGGCTGGCCAACCCCCGACCTCAGTGTGACTGCGCCTCCAATGAGTCAAAGTGGCGGGACCTCGGATAGATCTGCAAGTCACCCGCTGCAGCAGGAGCACTGAACCATGAGCTGTTCCAATAATAGCATCGCGACTGTATGTTTGATTTGGTTCTTCTAGCCTTAGTTTCTTCTTGGAATGAGAGAATTCATCTCCCTCTGTTCAAGGCTCCCCACGCTGTATTATGTTGAATTCTAAGTTAAACATCTCAAGGAGCCTCTAGCTAGCTGTTATCTATCTGCCATCTTTGCTCAAATTCCTTATTATTATCTTAAAGAAAACAATGGGAACAGTAATGAATTTCAGTTCCTCTGAATCAGATAGTTGCTGAGTCCCAGTTGTTTCCTGCATTGGTTGCCAATTCCTCTGATCTGAGGTTCCTAGGGGTGGCTTCTCATCAGTGTTTGCCAGATGGTGATAGGCTCATCAGGGATTGTGGCTTTTCTTCCTGGCCCATGGCAGCAGGCTTACCGGGGGAGATAGCTATTTCTTTCTAATGAATTGACCATTTCATTTCTAATGGCCAACAGACCACACAAAGATACCACTTTAGGCTCCTGTTTAAAATAACAGCTTCAGCCTGATCGCACCCTGAATCCCTAAGGGCTGATCCTTTTAGAAGACTGGAGTTTGCTGGCTCCTCTGAGGAGAGCAGGTGTGTCACTCACACTCATTTAACAGTGGCCTATGAGGCCCCACCCTGCTGGCCGGCTCCCCCAGAATTCCTTCGCTGCCTGCTGCCTGTCTCACTGTCCTCAGATGCCCTGGGTTCTCTCACCTCACCCAGGGGCTGTCCATCCCCACTCCCACCCTTCCCTCCTCCCTAGTCTGCTCAAAACCACTTTTCACCTCTTTCACTGTATTCTTCCCCACCCCACCCCTACCCACGGGTCTTAAACCACCCTTCCTGTCTATTTTTTTTTTCTGGCTATTTTTTTGTACAACACAGGGTATGATTTGCTCGTTTACTGAATGCAGTATTTGAGGTCAGTTTCTCCTTGATAGATAATAAACACTTCAATGTAAGGGACAGATGTTTATCTTTTTTGTGGACTACTTGTCCCAAACACATGCACAATGGCGCTGGATACAGGGCAAGCCTTATTAAATAAGTATTGAACTTAATTGAAATCTTTTCCCTTTCTCAGAAGATTTAATGCTGTTTTGTTTGTTTTGGTTTGGTTTTGGGGGATAGACAGTCTCACTGTGTAGTTCAGGCTGGGTTTGAACTTACTGTGTGGTCCAGGTTATCCTTGAATTTGAGATGGTTCTCCTGCCTCAGCCTCCTGAGTGCTGGGATGACAGGTGTGTGCCACCACACCCAGCAGGATTTACATTCTAGTGTTTTTATTTTCCCTTACTAATTCCAAGAAGAGGTGATTTCTTGAATGCAGTGTCCTGGGAAAGGCATTTTGAGGGCCATTAGTTTTATAATTTTGAAAGAACAGTGAGTGAGTGAGGCAGGATGCCGCCCAGCACTGCCTCCCGCTGCCCCTCAGAGCAGCAGGTGTGGCCCTGAAGCCTCCCAGGTGTGACAGTCAGGTGTTCTTGGCCTGCCTGCAAGAACGGTGGTAAGGAAAGAGTCTGAGAGAACCAGACAAGGGCTCCAAGCCCAGGACCTCAGGAGCCAAAGTCCCCTTCTCTCCTCCTGGGGCAGAGCACACTGTGGGATGGGGTGGGAGGCCAGGCAGGGCCACATCCTGAGAAGCCACCACACTTGGACTTCAAGGCCCCTGGCAGCTGTGAGGCCCTGTCCACAACCCTGCTGTGTGTATGGCATTGGCAGCTTAAAAAAATGTGTCAGCTGGTCATGGCAATGCATGCCTGTAATCCCAGCCCTCAGGAGGCTGAAACAGAAGAATTGTTGGGTAAGAGTACAAGACCAGCCTGTACTACATAGTAAGACCCTGTCTCAAAAAATCAAAAATAGGGGCTGGGGTTTAGCTCAGCGGCGTAAGCGCCTGCCTGGCAAGCACACTGTCGTGAGTTCGATCCCTGATACCACAAAAATAAACAAAATAACAGCTTCAGAAAAACTGATGACTTTGATTGAGGGCTGTTAGCATAGTTCTTGTTTGGATTATGGGAAGGCCTACTCTGTGTGTGGGTCATGATCCAGCAGGCTTCTAGCCTGGATGGGATGAAAGGCAAAGATGTTTGCTGCTTTCTGCCAGCCCTGCCATGAACTGTTTCTCTTCTCCCATGCTGTCGTGTTTGTGAGCCAGATGTTCATGGACTGAAACCTCTAGAAACTTGTTAACTAAAATCTTCACTCTTTTCATTTTGAGTGTCCAGTATTTTGTCCCAGCAGTGAAACAGTGCCTGAGACAGAAACTCTGCTTCTGAAGTTTTCTGTGAATATCTGGGGAAGACTCAGTAATAAAATATATTCCTAATAAAATTTTTCTTCCTATAAGTTGGATCAATATTATTATATTTACAGAGGGTTTCAGTTAAGCCCCATAGAAACAAAGCAGGATTTTCTTCCCTGTCTTAGGTAATTTCTTTAATCTTTTCACAATTGACTAGCTTACTCAGCTCACCAATTAAATGAGTAATCATTTCATCAACTTCTACAGGGTGTAATTTTATTTTATTTGGCTCTATGGCATAATAGATTATACAAGATCGATGTAGTCCAGGGTCTTGATAAAGGGCCATAAAAACCTAGACATGGGCCGGGGAGTTAGCTCAGTGGTATAAGTGCATACCTGGCAAGCGTGAAGTCGTGTGTTCAATCCCTGGTACAGAAAAACAAAAACAACTAGATATATGGAATTTCTGTCCAACTTCCCTCTCTTTATAGCATAGATCGAGCTGAAGTACTGGTCATGTCTCCCCACTTTCTAATTTACACTGACTCCATACTGAGTTACAAAGAAAAATAATCTTTTTCTTTTTTAAATCTTCTAAAATGCTCCACGTTTTATAAAATACAACCTAAAGATGTTTCAGAAATAGATACTGAGTAACCCATACTCCAGTAAGGTGCCCTGCATACCTTCAATATTTCCCTTGTATAGTTCCAGAAAGAGATAACAGAAAAAGATGGGCTGTAAGATCAGGCCTCGTGAGTGCCCACATCGTCCTTTAGCCATGTCACAATGGAATGTACCCCCAAATGGGGTTATACTACATACACACCTCAAACTGGGGTCAGGTGGCATGTGCAGCCTGCCCCAGTTTGTGCTGGAATTGCCTGGGAGGCAGCTCTGCCATCTTCCTAGTCAGAATTGCCCAGCTCTACTGTTTTTTGTCATGTCCAAAACAAGCATCCTTCCTCCTATCAGCTATTCCAACCTTTATTAACAGGTCAAGAAAGCAGAAGTTTTATACAGCAGCTAAGTTTTACACAACTTAACCCAAAGATTTTTATCTAGGGATCTGTAACATACACAAGGAACTCACATAATTTCAGATGTTTGGAGATGTCATTTAACAACTACAGATCACATACCAGATAAAAGAGGCCATATGCTTTCCACATCATGGGACACACTAGACACCTATATTCCAGTTCCCTACTTCTCCCTGGTAACTAATACCAGAAAAAAAAAGTCTCCTGTAAGGTTTCCTTACAGGAAAGAAGATAGAGGAAGGCAAAACATTGGTCTCCTTTTTGGTTCACTACCAAGTCCCATGGATAGTGCCAGCTACACCTGATCACTTGAATCTGCATGGCTTAGGACATGTTTGTAGCCACCCAAGGGGGAACTGTGGCATCAAGCAGACTGATCTTTATTATGCCCTTCGGTTTTTAGTGAGAGAAAAAAAGTGTTTAGAGAATCTCCCTTATATCCCCACAGACACTGCATAAGGGCTTATCCTTATTTCATGTCTTCCTGGACAAGCAAAATTTTTCACAATCTCCTATAACCCAGGGACAATGTATAGAGCTACTTAAAGGACTACTTAAGCCACTGTACATCTGGGAAGAGTGTCTCCTGATATCTCTTACTGTTACCAGTTAGAGCACATGCTTCTTGTCTTTCGTGTTTTTATATACAAGCACTCATTTTCTAGAGGATTAGGAATCTCTAGCTACTGGAAAAGAAGACCATTATGTTTGCAAAAGGAAAGAAAAAGGATAAACTATGCTTAGCAAAGGGTTTAAGAGAAAAGTGCTTCAGACAAAAAAAAAAAAAGTATACTTAAGAGGGCCATGGAATTGAGAGAACATGGCCAAAGAAAATAAAAGACTTTTGGCTGGAGTTATTAAAGCAAATCATCGTTCTCAGCTCAGAAATGGTGATTTCTTTATTCAGTTTTAAATTAAAGTATTTTTACTTTTTATGTATCTGGAAACAAGTTCCTTTGCACTAAAGTTTTTAATTTTGATGAAGTCTAATTTTTCTGATTTTTCCTTTGTTGCTTGTGGTTTTGATGGCATATCTAAGAATTCTTTCCTAATTCAAAGGCACGAAGATTTCTATGTTTTCATCTAAGACTTGTATAATTTTATCTCTTATAATTAGGTCTGTGATTTTCTTTCCATCTTCCCTTCCTTCCTTTGTTCCCTGTGGTAATAGAGATTAAGTCCAACTCTGCAGTGAATTACATCCTAGCTTTTGTGTTTGTGGTCAGTATTCTGTCTTGAAACAGGGTCTCACTAAGGTGCCTGTGCTGATGAAACTTGCAGTCCTCCTGCCTGTCTCCCAGAATGCCATATGCTCGGCTTTTTTTTTTTTTTTTTTTCTTTGTTTTTTGAGACAAGGGCTCACTGTGTAATTCCAACTGGCCTCAAACTCCATGATGCTTCCTGAGTTCTTGGATTGTAGGAATGTACCACCATGCCCGACTGCTTTTTTCTTTTTCTTTTATTTTTTTTTGCCTCTTCCCTCCCCCCCCCCTGAAATAGGGCCTTACTAGTCTATATTGGCTTTGAACTTGAGATCTTCTTGCCTTAGCCTCTGAAAATGTTAGGATAACAGGCATGAGCTAGCACAACTGACTTCTTCATTTTGGGTTAATTTTTTTGTAGTTGTAACAAAGAAGTCCAGAAGTTTTTGCGTGACTCTCTAGTTGTCACAGTATTTGTGGAAGGACTACTCCTCCCTTAAACATTCTTTATGCCTTTGTCAAAAAGAATTGCCCTGGCCCGGTCTGGTTGCACACCTCTGTAATCCCTATACTTGGAAAGCTGTCGTAGGAGGATCACAAGTTGGTTGCCAATCTGAGCTGTGTAGCAAGTTCACCTGTGAGCTGGATTGCATAGCAGGACTTGTCTCAAAAAAAAAAAAAAAAAAGAAAGAAAGAAAGAAAGATGGAAAATGGAAGCTTGGGACACATTTCAGTAATAACAGTGCTTGCCTGCTGTGTACATTTATTTCTGAAATATCAATTCTATTAATCTATGCTTCTATCTGGACTATCAATCAAATCTATTAATCTATGCTTCTATCTTTATGCATTCTGCCTTGATTACTTTTTAACTTCATAATAAGATAAGTTTTTAACATTATGAAGTTTTAGTTCTCCATCATCTCTGGGTTGTTTTAATATTTTGTTCCTGTATTTTCATTTGAAAAATTTTAGAGGCATTTTATCATTTTCTGCAAAAAAAATAAAAAATAAAAAATGGCCTGCTAACCTTTTTGAAGTGTTATATTAAATCTATAGACTAATTTGTGAGAATATTGTCATATTTACAATTATGGGTCTTCCATTTCATAAACATAGGATATCTTTCCATTTGTGTAGGTCTTCTTCAGTTTCTTTCAAAACTTTGTTACAGTTTTCAGAGTGTCAGTATTTTTAAAAGCTATCCAGAAATTCGAATGTATAAGTAGGATTGGCAATCCTACCTTTAGTAACCATTAACAGCTGAAATCTTGTGAGTTACTAACACACACCCCACCTTGATTATTTTACACTATCATAGGAATTCACATTCTTTCACCTCAATGAGTCACTCATTGGGGATTAGAATTTCTCCAGTAGCTGTATTTATTTTAGAGACTGTTTTCCCTGCAAATATGCCTTTTACAGTGCTTCTTGTTGCCATTCAGACATTACTGTGGTAAATAGGGACAGAATTAGTGCTCCTATCTTACTATGCTCCCATTACTCTTAATTCTCTGGCTGCTTAAAACTTGTATTCTTTGAGAAAGGATGTCACTGTAAGGCAGCCAAAGGAGAGCCTCCTGTTAACCCATTAGTGAATATCCAGGGCAGAGACTTGGTACCTGACTCTACTTCAGTAACCTCCCAGGCCAATGTACATGTAGTACACTTTATCAGACTCTGAAAGAACTGACAGCGTTTGTGTTTCCTTGTTGTACAGCCCATTGATATACAAGACTGTGAAAACCCAGAAGCCTGGTAAACCAAAGGAATTATTTGTGCATTGGCTCTAACTTATAGTTTGGTTAAATGCATTTCTCCTTCATAATTTGTGGTAAAACAGACTTTTTATGGGTACCAATTAGATTGAGTATAAGAAAGTTTGCCAAGTATAAGAAAGTATGCAGTCAAAAGCTCTATCCTTGAGCTGTGCCCCCCGCCAAGCATGTATTATGAACAAGATTATAGGCAGGCTTGGATATTTAAAGCTAATTCTGAGATGGTTGTTTTTCCAGCTCTTTAGAAGTATGCCATTTATTTAAGTTACTAGTCATTTTATCTGTTCATAAAAATAAGGCCATACATGAACTAGCTTTAGTGCTACTTTTCTACATCTCTAAAGTAGAGTGATAGTAGTTTTAAGCCTGTTCTAAGGATTAAATCAAATTTTATATGTGTGTACATACATTCAAATGTAGATACTTTGCTAACCTTAGTCCAGTTGATGGAGATGAGGTTATACTATGTCTAAAATGTAACTATTTATGTCAGTTATGTATCCACAAGCAACAGGTATTTAATGGGTCTCTAGGTAGATATGGGTTATAATTACAGTCCAGTTACTGAAATACAGGATGGCCAAAAATTTGCATTTTTCATTAATTTTTATAAGATAATATAACAAGAACTATTAAACCGACAATTTTATCAAATATATTCAGTATGTACACAGGCAGACACTCAGGGTAAACTGTTAAGTTGTTAACTTGTAGAGGTAGATTACAATTAAGTAAGCAATTAAAATTATGTCAATATCTTTAAATTCTTTTTACGCTGTTGTCATTGTGCTGAAGTTCCTGGTTACTGTTACTTGTGCTTTAATTTTTTTTTTTTTTTTCCTGTGAAAACGAAGAAAGATGGACCAATGTGATAAGCTCAGTATTTTGTGGGACAAAGAACGCATTTATGATGAGCTGCCACCTAGTGTCAGAAAATGGGTAAGTGTTAAAACAAATCACTTTTACTCCTTTATGAAATCCTTACTTTCTGCCCCTCAGTTGTTGGTGCTTTGTTAAATCTGTGCTTAGAATTGTTGACTTTATGCTGCAAAAATTGCTGTAGTTTTTACTCTGAATTTTAAGAAAGTGAGGTGGGTCTAATCAAGTTTCCTTTGTCTTAATGAGTAGATCTGGGCTGTAAAAAACGCTTCCAAAGAAATCATATAGAAGGAGGTTGGCATTTGCAAAATAAAATAACTCCTTTCTCCAGCCTTGTATTTTTTTTTCTTTTTTTTTTTCTTTCTTACCATCTTGCAGGAAAGAAACACTATTTTTCAGAGTACTGTATTGGGTCAAGGGCTGTTTTGGGGAATGGTAATGGGTGGCGGCTTTTTAACTTTGTTACATAGATGGCACCATGGCAAAACACAAGTGACTTAATTCTACATTAACAGTTACTTATGAAATATTTCACTGAAGTGGAAAAGAATTGATAAGAGAAGGTTTCAGTTTTGGTTTTGGTATATCCTGGTATCCTCACCAGGCTTCCTCTATACTGTGATTTTGCTGGAAGCCCAGGAAGCCCCTCCTAAAAAACCTCCTAAATGAGTGTTACTAAATGGTTGTCACGGTGTTTGGTATGAAATACTGTTTTTGCTAGGATGCTGTTAGAAGCAACCTTACAAACTGCCGTCATAGGTTTCTTGCGAAGGTCTGAGTCCTGGACCCTGGTTCCAGGGCAGGTTTGTTTTAGCCAGTGGGAATGACTTATGGAGGAAAACTGATCATAAGGTAAAGGGTAAAGACATTATCATGAAGGCTCCTTTAACTTTATAAAACATCTTAAACACTTGATTTTTAAAGAAAATCTAGAAAGATAGATGAAATTATAAAGAAACAAAAACCAGCTATTGTAGGAAAGCAAAGAATGGCTAAGCATGGCAATACATGCCTTTAATCCCAGTGACTCAAAAGACTGAAGGAAAGAGATCACAAGTTCAAAGCCAGCATGAACAAGACCCTATCTCAAGATAAAATAATAAAAAAGGGTGGAGATTAAGCTCAATGATAGAGTACTTGCTTAGTATGAGCAAGATACAGAGTTCAATCTTTAGTACCACCAAAAACAAAAAACAAGCTAGAAAGGAAATGGTTTTTGCACTGAAATGATGGTTACAATGTTTCTGCTTTGAAGCCTCCTCCTTTGTTCCCCCATAAAGAGTGAAGACATGGGACAGTGTTATCTGTATTACTTGGTACCTTCCTGGGTCTGGTTTCTTTCTCTCTTTATTTATCTTAATCTTTATCTTTCTCATTACTAGAGTCTAACTGTAGAGGAAAAAGCTGCATTTAGTAAGATTTCCTATTAGTTTTCTTAATAAAGCTTAACGAGATTCTACTTTATTCTTTTTCCTATGATCCCCCAGCCCTACATTCCTTTGCATAGACTTGGTAAGAAAATTCTCACGTGGATATTCATTAAATAATTATCAATAAATAAGTTTTTAATTACTCCTGCTTCACTACTGTAACAAACCATATGGGATGTCTGTTATGTAACTCAACTTATGCTGAGTAGAATACTCAAGTAGAAACAGTCTGTGTAAAGCATCTGGTACTCTTGTTTAATAATGAAATCATGAGAACATTTTGGAACAAACCAGCCCTCAAACTGATGCAGCCATGACATAGAAATCATCATATTGATGGGAAACAGGCAGACATGGTTCTTGCCTGCTATTCATAAAAGCATGATTTGTAAGTTTTTCCATCAGATATTTAAAAACTTAGTTTTGCAGTAAACTATAACTCTTAACTCTTAACCAAAGTTTAGCAAAACCCTGCCTCGCAGGACTCCTTCTAATACTAGAAGCATCCTTCACACTGATTGCTGCATAACATTTCTTAATGTCATGGTACCTTTACCTACAGACATGGCCATCTATATGTGATGAGGGTGATAGTAATGATAAAGGTGAAGGGACTAAATCATGTTTTTTGGTTTTTGGTTTTTTTTTTTTTTTTTTGGTGATATTAGAGATTGGTCACAGGGCTTGACACTTGATAGATATGTCTAACTTGATTCAAACATTACATAAAGTACACTTATATGAAAACATTCTTTATACTCCATAAATATATATATTTTTATGTATAAGGTAAAAGTTAATTTTTAAAGACAGTATTTTTATTAAACTTCCATCCCTGTAAATTTGCTTATGCATGGGTTGTTTCACACAAACTTCATTGCCCTGTCTAGTGCTAAACATTATATATATCATTTAGTCTAGTTACACTGCAGACAATTGTTCATTTAGTTAGCTCTTTTCAACAGTGTAACTAGGCTAAAGGATGTATGCATGTATAACTTTGATAGGTATTGAGTAATTACCTTTCAAAGGGACTAATTTACATATATGTCATGGGTGTGTGACGTTATATTGATTCTTACAAGTTTTGATGGGTAAAGGTCACTGTTTATGAGGCATAATTCTGAGGTAATATCGTGTATTTTTCAGAAATGACTAAGCATTGTAAATCTGACAAGCTGAATTGCCTTTTTTGCCCTGCTAGTAATAGATGTGTTCCTTCCTTATTCTGTTGTCTTGATTATATAATTAGAAGTGCTTTCAGTGCTGAGAATCAAGTAATCGTTCCTTTATGAAAGGGGTAAAAACTCTTAAGCTAGGTGCAGCAAGCCACCTGTAGTTTAGCCTGATAAGGAGGCCAAGGCAAGAGGATCACTTGAGCTCAATAGTTTAATGCCAGCTTCAACAGCATAGTGAGACATTATCTCAAAAGAAAAAGACAGCTAAGCTTAATAGCATATAGCTGTAATTCTAGCACTCAGGAGACTGAAGCAGAAGGATCTTGTTTCCCTTAGGGAGTTTAAGAATTCATCTTTTCTAGTCTGGATTACTATTTCTGTGGACATCATATAGCTAGGGTGTGTTTGCAAAGTGTTTAATGCCATCAGAGCAAACTTTATTCATCGGACATGTTTAAACTTTCATTCAGAGACTTAGTAAATGTGGGAATATTTGCTTTTTCAAATGACTTAACGATGGAAAAGTCCTTGGAGAACTGTCTAGAAATGATTTTGAGATTTTGGTGGAGACCAACACTACAGATGCAAAAAAATACATGAAAAAGGAGAAAAACCAGTTGGACCACTTATAGTTGAGATCATGGTATTGTACAATGACACATGCCAATATATATGGGATGGGCAACTTGTAAAACTGGAGGTCATCATTAAGGTTACCTGTTCCTCCCACATGATTGAGGTGTTTCTCCACGTCATTTGCTGGAAAGGAAAAACTTTCAGGAGGATGGTATTCTTGTACTCTGACCTGAACAAGACCAAGAATTAGTTTAGTAATACTTTAGGATTTTTAAGGCACATTTAACAGATCTGTAAACAGTATACAAAAATTAATGTCTATTTTGTCAACTAAGAGTATACATTTTTGAGCAAGGTGTCTCTTATGGGTCAAAAAGAACACGATTTTTGTCAGTTATCTGACTATAAGCAATACAGAAGGTAGTCATTTAGCAAAACAATTTAGTAGTAACTTTTACAGCATATTAAGACAACAATAATGACTGACTATATTCTACCAGGAGAATTACATTTTTAAAATAAGGAAACTAACATAATACTAAGCCTTAATTTTTAAAAACATTTAATCCTAACAAGACAGGAGAGCAAAAATTATTTTGAAAGATTTTAAAATTCTTTTTATTGAGTTAGTTAAAAAGAAGTTGAATTAGAAAAGAAGATGTAATATACTTGAGATGGGAAAAGTCTAAAATATTTGCTCATGAACTTTATACAAGGCTTTTCTATGAATATAAAGTGATTTTAAAGTGAAAAAACTGCAGGATGTGGTAGCACTCCTGTAATCCCAGCACTAGTGAAGCTGAGGCAAGAGGATTGCTATGAGTTTGAGGCCAGGCTGGGCTACATGGTAAAGTCAAAGCCATCCTAAACTACGTAGTAAGACCTTGTCAAAAAGCCAAAAATAAATTTAAAATTTTAAAAAGAATAAAATGAAAAAAGATTCATTTTACTTTATTTAGCACAGACTAGACAAAAGAATAGCAGTTTATCTATTACAGAAAACCAAGCAAGCCTTTTAGCATCTCTTAAAACTATTAGCATTGGGCCACATAAACCCATTAATAGACCAACTAGTCATAGCTATGAACCTTTCATAGCAAAAGTTTTTAATACCAACTGTTACTAGAATAGTAAATGAGGTGTGCTTATATAAATTATTAACTTTAGGAGATCATAAAATTATGAGCAGAGATAACTTTCAATCACTTTGAAACTGATTCTTTAAAGTTCGTTTTTAACTTGACCTGTAGTTTGGTAAGTCTCCATTTTTAGATATATATTATTCCACTAAAATAGTTACTCAAACTTGTTAAACAGTTATAACTTTTGATCTAATTTCAGTGTTACAACTACATATGTACAAAAATTATGTGAAATATATTTAGTAGAACGAAATATACCATTTATGAATTTTAAGAAGGAAAAACATGAATTGATTTTGGCAAATATGTGTAGTAGTTTAATCATAAACATACATAAAGTCAGACATTTTATCTATATATCTTATATAATGTTTAACAGTTACCACTATACTGTCCCCAAAATATAAAACATCAAAAAATATGTTACCGATTCATAACAGTTTTTTTGCTGAGGAGAAAAAAATTATAAACTGTAGTCAGTGACTGGAAATTGATTTCCATATGCTACTATGGAATGCTATTTAAAACTTTTGAATTCTGGGACTTTTGAACTTGAATATTTACATTGACCCCAATGATGTCTTTTTTACCTAAATTTTGTGTCACCTAAAGCAAACAATTCTAAACAATTCTAGATAGTAGGAATGCCCATAAGTGAATTTAATTGAAAGACTATAAAAAGAACTTATTTGTCATGGGTATTTAAAATGACAAAGCTCAGAAGACCTAGAAAA